GTATAAGGGTAGGGGTTGATACGCATACGGTGTGATAAGGTGTGAATTTATACGTGTGTTTCTAGTAAGGGGATTACTTGAAGCCACACTGTATGATAAAGGGGGCTGAAATGCGTGTAGCTATTTCGGAAAATATATTTTTAAAAGTAAATGCAAGGCTCACGCGGTGATATAAGAAAAGATTGTGCTTATGACTTGTGATATGTGATTTCGAGGCGGTACCTCGGTTGTGATTCTAATCGTACATTTTATTTGGAACGACTTGTTGATTTGAACGATTATTGTTCTTCCTCCAATCATTCATCCCCATTTTGATTGTATTTGGATATTTGTTGTTATCTTGGTGTTCGAACGATTGTGGCTTCTCATATGAGTCATGCAATCTACGTGATTTGTTGCATTGCTTTAACATGCCAATATACGCCTCTGTTATTACTTGGTAAATTGATTGTCAATGTGAATTTAATTGTGTGGAGTCATTATCTCATATTCTCTTGAGTTGTTGGTAACATAACAGTTTAAATAAAAGAATTATTAACATGCTTTGTTCTATGTGTCTTTTAAGATAGAACTCATTATCTCATTCGGTGCTTTACTATTTTAAATGGTTATTGTACTTTTACTTTAGCTGGGTTCCCAAATTATATTCATCGCCTTATTTGATGTTTACTTTACTTAAAATTGTTACCACCTTTTTTCTTTTAACAAGTTCTATATTTAATTCGCTAATTTAACTAATGAATTACTTTGTTTAAACATGATATTTTTACTCTATTTTATTGATTGCTAAACTAAATCTATCTGATACTTTATTTTGTATAAACTATACTTTATTTTATTTTATTTTATTTCTAAATAAACTCACTATCTCATTTGCGGCCTTACCTTATTCAAGATTGTTATTATGATTTATGGTATTCAAATATATCTCTCGATCATTTAATTTATATTTGACATGGTTGCAATGTACATGATAGCACGTGGGCTTGCCGTGTGAAGGTGATTGTTATTGTGGACACGAGGTGCCATACATGTAAGATCTGGAAATTGCGACCCATGATTTGTGATTACGAGGTGTTCGCAAATGTCGCAATTGCGACCTCTTGTTCGCAATTGCGATGTTCGCAAAACCGAACTGGTGTTCGCAAAAGAAAATAGATTTGTAGCCCCCTAATATCGCATTTTCAACCCAATACTTTGCATTTGCGAAGCCCCTCCTATCGCAAAAGCAGTCCTGGCTTCACATTTGCGAAGCCTTCTGTTCCATTCCCCATGTCGCAAAAGCATCAATTTGATCGCAAAAGCAGAACCCTGCCACCAGCAAACGCGGCCCTGACTTTGCATTTGCGAAATCCTCAGTCCCAGCCCAAGTTCCACAAATGCGAGCCTGACTCCGTAAAAGCGAAGCTCGCATTTGCGAGCAGGTCTTCACATTTGCAAGACCTGCAGCCCAATTGCACCATATTTTGCACCAGCAGTCATTTCCTTTCAAAAACTAATCCGAAACACATCTAAGCCCCTCGGGCTACAATCCGAACATGCACATAAGTACAATAACATCATAGAAACTCGTCCCCTAACTCAAATCACTAAAATAACATTAAATATCAAGAATCAATCAACAAAATTCAAGATTTCAACTTTAAAACTCTTTTTTTATAATCTTTCACATAATGCATCGCAGCGCACTCGGGTCACCCGGAACCCCAGCCAAACGTGCGTATAAGTCCAAAAAATCATACGAACCTACCAAAATTGTCGAAATATCGATTCGAGGTTGTTTACCAAAAATATTGACCGTGGTCAACTCAAACTTTATTTTAAGTTAAAAATTACTTTTTCTTTAAAATTTTACGTCGAAACTTTTCGAAAAATGACATGAACCATGCACGCAAACAAGTAAATATCAAATTAAGCTATGAGAGGTCTCAAAACATAGAAATTAAGGCTAGTACTCAAAATGACCTATCGGATCGTCATATTCTCCACCTCTAAAAGAAACGTTCGTCCTCAAACGGACATAGAAATGTACATGGACTGGTAAAAAAGTGTGGGTATCTACTCCGCATATTGAAATCGGACTCCCACATAGCCTCCTCAATTGGTTGACCTCTCTACTGCACTTTCACGGAAGGAAAACTATTGGATCTCAACGTTTGAACCTGCCGGTCTAGAATAGCCACCGGCTCTTCCTCATTAGTCAAGTTCTCTTCAAGTTTTACCATGCTAAAGTCTAAAACATGTGACCTATCCTCATGGTACTTCGGAAGTATTGAAACATGAAATGCCGGATGTACCCCTGCTAGGCTAGGAGGTAATGCAAGCCTATAAGCAACATCCACAACTCTCTCCAAAATCCCAAACGGGCCAATATACCTCGGGCTCAACTAGCCCTTCTTTCCCAACCCATCATGCCCTTCATAGGCGATACTTTGAGAAAAACCATCTGACCCACCATGTGATCCACATCTCAAACTTTCGGTCCGCATAACTCTTTTGCCTGGACTAAGCTGTACGAAATCGCTCCTGAATCACCTTAACCTTTTTCAAGGCATCACAGACCAAATCAGCGCCCAATAATCTAGCCTCATCGGGATCAAACCAACCAATCAGCGAACGACACCGCCTCCCATATAAGGCCTCATACGGAGCCATCTAGATGCTCGATTAATAGTTATTGTTGTAGGCGAACTCTACTAGAAGTAAAAATTGGTTATTGACCCCCGAAATCCATAAAGCATGCCCGCAACATGTCATCTAACATCTGAATAGTACGCTCAGATTGTCCGTCTGTATGAGGAAGAAATGTGGTACTTAGCTCGACCCGTGTGCCCAACTCACGCTGCATGACTCTCCAAAAATGCAATGTGAACTGCGTGCCCTGGTCAGGAAAGATGAAAATGGGCACACCATGCAGACGGATAAACTCTCGAATGTTAATCAGAGCCAACCGCTCTGAAGAATAGGAAGTCATCACCGACAATCTTTTTTTATATCACCGCATGAACCTTGCATTTACTTTTAAAAATATTTTTTCAAAATAGCCACATGCGTTTCAACCCCCTTATCATACAGTGTGGCTTCAAGTAATTCTTTTACAAGAAATACACATATAAATTCACACCTTATCTCACCGCATGCGTATCAACCCATATCCTTATACCGTATCAATATCATAACACCATAATCAACTCGCACCATATGTGCCCATAATCCACAACACTTTCTAAAATCAACAATATCAATGTTATCACAACAAATAGCCCATGACTCAATCACAATGTGTACAGAATGTCAATAACAACAAAACAAATGAGGAATGCTCAACAAGGAAAAATATCTCAAAAATTACCTACTTCAAGCTCAATGTGATAATGACTTCCACAACTTCAACACCAATAACTCAATCAAGAAGATATTCTACGAAATAACAACTTTAAGTAAGAGTATCTCAACAATAAAAAGGGTAACAAGATAATAAGGAAGGTAGCAACTTAAACTAAGCATATAATTACAACAGTAAAGGATTTAACAAATGCTAACAACATCAATTAGAGCATGTGAGAGTAAATTTAACAATAAAAGAGGTAACATGTTATAAAAAAATCCAAATAAATGCATGGAAGAAGTCTAAGGGTCTAAACCAGTTAAAATACCACATATAGTTCGTGTACACATTCGTTACCTTGTGTACACGTCTTTCATATAGTACAATCAGTACAAACAACCCTCACACAAAGTTTGGCAAGATGTTTACTTCAACTAGGCTAAATCAACCCTCGAAAGTAGCTTTTCCCCTAAAATTCACATCCACACGGCTCAAATCTAACCAAAAGTGACTTATCATCAAACAATGCAAAGGAAACTAATTACAATAGATAAAGTTATGGTCTTTACCCCGGGCTCCCCGATCAAAACCCGAGTCCAAGGGTAGATTCCGACTACCTATAACCCCACAAGTACATATATGTGTTTTATTTTTAAATCCGAGTCCAAATCGACTCTCAAAACTCAAATCTTCATTTTTCAAAATTTTGATTAAAACCCCCAATTTTACTCTTTGATTCTCATAAATTTGATGTTAAATCTAAGATATAATCATGAAATATAGTTGAAAATTGATCAAAATCACTTACCCAATAGTTTGGTATGAAAATCTCTCCACAAAAGCGCCTCCCACCGAGTATAGGGTTCAAAATATGATAAAAAGCTAAGTCCCGAAATGCTCAACTATAAACAAGTTGCAAATGTTGCATTTGCGAACCTCCAGCAAATGCGAAACTAGAATCACAAAAGTGAATACTGACTCACTCTGATGAAATCGCAAATGCGAGAACTAAATCTTCGCAAAAGCAACAGGAAATGTCGAAAATGCGGAATCTCTCCTGCCGAGGTGCCATTGCAAATGCGATGGAATTGTTCGCAAATGCAAACCCCATGTTCCCAGTCCAACATCGCAAAAGCGAGAAGAATCTCGCAAATGCGAGAACAGAGCACCAGTAATAGCTGAACCTTGCCAAAAACTCTCTAGAACACATCAGAACCTCACCCGAGCCCTCAGGGCTCCAAACCAAAAAGCCACGCATGTACATAAACATCATATGAACCCGCTCACGCGATTAAAACATAAAAATAACATCTAGAACTACGAATCGGATATCAAAACACATGAATTTCGAAAAAATGTTCAAGAACCTCTAGAATTGCAACCAAGCGTCCAAATCCTATCAAAGCAACTTCAAATGACACCAAATTTTGCAAACAAGTTCCAAATAGCATAACGGACTTATTCCAAGTCCCAAAACCAAAATTCGCGCCCGATAGTCACAAAGTCAAACCATGGTCAAACTTAGGAAAATTTTAAACCTTCAAATTTCCAACTTTCGTCAATCATGGCCGGCACAATAGACTGAATGTAATCAGCCTGAAAATTAACGTACTCCAACTGGTCAATTGCAAGCCATACTCTTGACACAGAGAACTTTCCAAGCCTCAAGAACTCGAGAGAATCAAAGTTAAAATTTTATGTAAATCTCTCACTTTAGGAACACATTCTCAGAATGAGATCCTGAAATATAATGTTGACCTAAAACTTTCACCTTGTTTTCGAAGCAAGCAGTTATAAAAATTAAAAAAGATGGGGGCTGAAACAGCAACCAACCTCTTACTCTCAGTTTAGCCTTTCAAATTTCTTTATTATTGGAGTTAGCAGCAATACTTGAGCGTACAAATTGTAAATTCAGGAAGATTCTACTTAAGTGACAAATACTTGATAAACTGCATTGCTGACAGCTGTTGTTTGAACTCCTGAACATCACCCCCGCCCCTAGAATAGCTTTCGGCGGATACAACCTGCATTAATACCACGCAAAATTATAACGTTGATATAAGTCAGAAAGGGGGGGAAAAAGCGTGATAGACGACAACCAAGGATCAAAAAAGCTGCAGTTATGGTGCATGAAACAAATAAGGTCAATCAAAGAGATGCGATATTATATTGAGATAATTGCTTTCTTCAAACCTCATAAGGTAAGAAGCTCCTGATAGCATATTCTTTGCCAACTGTTAGTAGAATCATTTTGCTTTCTTGAAAAGGTAGTTGATCGCATTCACATACTAATACATCTCCTTCAAGATGGATCCCGAAACCAAAAGTAAAGGACACCAGTAATTCTACACAAAAGCTACCAAAATTCACAAAAAGCATCTATCTGACTATTTTCATGGTAATACAATCTCATTCTAGGATATGTTATAGATGGTCTTTTTAATTTAATAACTCAAAGTAGTGCACCAGTAATCTCAGCATTGCAAATACTTTAGAGCTGCTCTTTTGTATTAGAAAATAAATTTGACATCTAAAGTACCCCCTACCATTCAAACTAATGACTGAAAATTGGGGGGGGGGGGGGGGGGGG